AGCTGGTTGGGCACCGATGACCGCCGGAGGAAGGACCCCGAGGTGTTCCAGACAGTCAGCGAGGGCCTGAAAAAGCTCTACAAAACCAAGCTGCTCCCCCTGGAAGAGCACTACAAGTTCCATGAGTTCCACTCACCTGCGCTGGAGGATGCCGACTTCGACAACAAGCCCATGGTGCTCCTCGTGGGGCAGTACTCCACTGGGAAAACCACCTTCATCAGGTAAATCCACACTGCCTGCCTGCTTGCCTGCCTCTCTCCTGGGCATGCCCGCACCCTTGATGCCTATGGGCCGTGGTGGGGCTGCTCTGCTACCCGTGGTACCCCCCGACCCTTCTGTTCCTCCCTTTGTGCCCCCAGGTCCTAACAACGGCTTTCCTCTGGGAAGCCCCCTCTACTCAAACTCTGGGAGTGTTTCTTCACTAGGACAAGGTGGTGTGGAGACGTCCCATGGAACACGGACGTGGCAAATGAGGGGCAGGAAAAAGAGCCGTGAGTCAGTGGGGGCCCCATTGTCCGTTCAAAGTGCAAAGGCTGCGGGAAGCCTGGTGCAGGGTATTCCCTGAGACTGCTCGGGCGAGGGTAACCCCCCTCTGACAGCCATTCTTTTGAACTTTTGGGTGGTAGGACAGCCTATGGCTTAGGGTACCTAGGAAATGGTCTCTTGTGTCTGTCTGCCTCTGCACCGTGCCCAGAGGCAACGTGCAGAACCTAGTTTGAGTAGCGTGTGTGCGCAGAAGAGACCTGCCCATCTTCAGGGCTCCAACAGTAAGCTGTGTTTTAACTCTGTCCTTGCACTGCTGAGATGCTTGGGAGCAGTAAGTTCATTCCTGACTGTAAAGAAAGGGCAGCTGCCAGCAGCAGGTTTGATGTGAAGCTGTGGAAGAGAGGGTTAAACTTTTCCAGCCAGACTTGGTTGCAGGGATCTCTGTTCAGCCACGCTGCTAGTTGAACTTGCAGCAGCTTTTCTCTTGGGATCATAGCTGAAGCTGCACTGTGTTTCCTATGTGATTCATAAGCTTAGCATTAAATTCCAACCTTTTTCTGGTGTGGTTGTGTTGAAATCTGTGGAATTACCCCAGTGTCTGGATGAAAGCCACAAGCAGCCAGCCCTTTGTGCTACCAGTATTTCTAGGTGGAGGAGGGAGCTGTGGAGAGTAGAGAGAGGTGAATCGAATTGACTGTACCTGTTAAGGAGTGACCTTGAGAAGTGCAGGGGGTACGGGGGTCTGTGTGCTAAAAATTCCAGCCAGGAGCCATGAAAAGAAAGCATTTCTGCTACCTTGTCACAAACCTGGCAAACAAAGTTTAAGAGTAAAAAGGCTTTTCTCATGTGAACAAGTCAGGTAGATGGTAAAGAGGCATGAGAGAGGCTAGCTAGCATAGCTGTCTGGTTCCACCCCAGATCTTTCTTCTGTGACTTGGTACAAAACCTATTTGATAGGTGCTTTCTGTCCTCTGGGTTACTGGCACTCAGCAGAACTTCACCTGAACACAAGGAGGTTGCTGGCTGTGCAGCTAGAGCATCTCCTCCTAATGCTTCTGCCTGGTTTGCCAGCATTAGCATTTCCCTGCAGTCTCACCTGCATGCTGTTGTTAGCAGAGACTTCCTGCCTTTGCCCTCTCTGTTCAGTAAAGCCCTTTTTTTCTGTAAGCCTGAGAGCCTTCTGCAAGAAGTTCAGGTATCTGAGGCGTATTCCAGGCATCCTGCTCGTGTGGCATGGCCCCCACCCCCTTTGCTCTGCTGTCAGCAAGCTTATCTGAGTTGCTCTGACCACTGCATTTCATTCATGCTTGTGTCCTCTCAGCCTTCTCTGTGCACAGGGCTGGGATGAGCCTACCCAGAGACTATGGTCAAGCAGAAGTGACCAAGAGCTTCCACTTCACAGGAGTACAAAATGGACCTGAGGTGGCCTTACAGGAAGGCAGAGCTGCCTTCTGTGTAAAATAGTGCATAAGAAGGTGAAAGTTGAGAAGTCCTGGAGAACCCCAGGGCCTTTAACAGCAGGAGGCATGTGAGGGTTGTTACTTCACTATGTTCCCAACTAACCAAAGGCAGGAGGTGCCAGAAAACTGAGTATTGCTTGTGGTAGGCTTTCAGTGTGAACTTGCAGGCACTGGTCACTAGAGAACTGGGATAAGCACCAGATTAGTATCCAGAGTTACTGTGGGAAGGCGAGTGGGAGCTAAAACAGAGCAGGGAGGAGTTAAAGGGGGCTGGGGGAGGAAGTGGGAGGGGAGACAACCATTATGTCTGGGCAATAGAGTGAAGCAAGAAACAGCCACTGGACATCTCTTCCATAATCTTGTCAGGATGGGGCATAATTAGTATTATCCTTATGTACCCATCCCACTCTTACATTGCATCCTGCTTGTACAGCCATGCAATTCAGGGAAATGACTTAGTGTCACTAAGCACTTCTGTAGAATGAACTCAGGCACAGTTCTGTTAAAGGATCTTAGTCACCTACCTGCGGTGGGTTTATCTCCCAAACATCTTTCCTTCTTCTTGGGGAACCCGAGGTGAAACAAGGAAGAGATGCAAGGCTTTGAAGCACCAAAGCTGCAGCATGTTGCAGTGAGGCTGTTCTCTTGTCTGGAGCTGATGGCAGGAAAAACGCAGTCAAGGTCAGCAGTGAGAAACATTCCTAGAGGCTGAGGTGGGGAGGAAGAAGGTGAGTTGGGTGGGGCAAAGCCAGTGGGGTGAAAGCAGAGCACAGCTTTTCAGTGGAACCAGGCTGTTGTTCTCCCCTGCTTTCAGGGATACAGAGAACTAAGCCTTATTTTGCTATGTGAAAGATGTATTTCATTAACTGCAGCTTTTCCATTCCTATTCTCTCTTCTTGCTCACTCCCATTTCTTTCCTCAGCAAATGTTTGGCTGAGGCTTTTCTGCAGTGCCAGAGTCTGAAAGACCATGATAGTGAGGATGAGGTAACATTTCTACCTGAGAATATCTGACAGCCACAGCAGGATGTCACTGGAACCTGCCTTTATAATGTTATTGCTTTTTATGTTTCCTGTAAGAGGGTGGGAGTGCAGGACAGAACATTAGTCTCCTAATTAACTTGGATTCTGTGGTCTTTTCTAAAAATAATCCTGGCTTCTGTCCAGCTATCCTGCTAATATAATAAACAAGCCTGCCAGAGCCCTCCTAGCTGTCAACATGGCTTGCTTTTCTGGTGTAGCCACCCCTTCCTGCTCCAGCTAATCATTTATATGTCCTGGCCTCTCCAGTCTATTTGTTACAGGCTATATGTAGAGCTCTGGTGTGACCTCCCGATGTGGCCCTGAACCTTTCATCTCTGCCTGCACCAAGCGGTTGTCACCATTTCCTCCTGCTCTGCCCTTCTTCCCTTTCCCACTCCGCATCACCTCTGCTACCACACACGGCAGCATCCTGCATGGTTCCTGCATGACTCATCACAGGCAGGCAGCCCCTTCCCCCACA